ATGTTTTCATGAGAAAGCTGTGGATATCAACAGCAGAAGAAAAAAACCTAAAAGGCAAGGAGAAAGCCTACATCCTACCATGCTAATTTGTATTGTTAAGAGAGGAAAGTAAACAACGTTTGCTAGGCTGAGGATTTTCAAAAGTTGTATTTTATTTAGTGTTTCCTTTCAAAAATAGTGTTTTAATGAATATGCAGCATGCAGGGTCTGTGGCACTGGTAGTGTATCCATCACCATGGTACCTGAGCATTCAAGCAAATGATTAACCAGCAGAGCAAATGAAACAGTAACATAGAGCCAAGAGACACCCTGACAAGCTCTTCCTACACCTGCCAGTACATCTCTATCTGGACCTTTACTCCTTCAGGCTTTCCACTGTCCTAACTTTCAACCATGTTCTTATGAGAACCAGATCATTTTTTCAAACAGTGCTAAGGGATGCAGAGACCTCAAACTGGCCTAGGGAGAAGGGTGAGATTAATAAAAAAAGAAACCCAAACAACAACAACCAAACCCACAAATATTTTCAGCAGGAAAATGCTTAAAGACACAGTAAAGAAAAAAGTATTTTTCATTTACACAAATTGACTGTGAATTGACAAATTTTGTTATGTTTGCCATGCCATCAGTCTGGCCACTTTAAAATGATTTTTCTGAAGAGGGAAAACAAGTCTTTTCTTCACTAAGGGCCAAAATGACGTTTCAGGAGACTGATGCAGACCATACATGAACACTACTTTTAAGCATTACTGATAATAACTAAAAGAATACATGAAAACCTATGGCTGTAGGTCTTCTGTAAAAAGCCTGGAGATTGCATCATCCCCTCCTCCCCAAACTTCAGGTGCAAGTTAATGACAACTCTGATGATGTTTGTTTAACATAGGTGCATCTAACTTCTTTGAGCTTCTTCTGGCTTGAGATGCTTAAGCAGAGACCTATGGGGTTTTAGGAAAAAAAAAAGATATTCTTTTGAATCATCTACCCCTTGCTGTTCTGTTTTCTGTACAAAATCTCTGAGGAGCAGAGGAAAGCTGAGGGCCTTGCATGCAGGCCAACTTTAGAAAGGCTGGCTCCTCTCAGTATTGGGGAATTATGCAGCTGTAACACAGCCCTCACGGAAGAAGTTTCCTGTTTTCCATCACTAGTCGAGGCAATAATACTGGAGTCTAATTATATTAGTGTCATGTGAAGTTTTTCCTCTTTACTGTAGCTGCTTCAGGTTATGAAGTAGTTACTTCCCTCCATTCCAGTTTTTCCTTTAAAAGACTAAGCTCTAGGGACAATGCCACATTACCAACAGTGAAGACTCAAGTGCTCTCTTCCCAGTGCAGGTATTCTGTGCTACCGCAATGCCTCAGCAGCAGTTCTGAAGCAGACAGGAAGCACTGCACCACCCACCCATATTCAACTGTGAAAGTGGTGTAAAGTTCAGGATAAGGACCAGTTCAACTCTGTTACCACTCCTGTCTAGATTATATCCATCACTGTCATCTCTAAAGATTCAGATCTTCTGCGTGCTTCATCAGGCTTTCTAATCATAGCTAATGGAAGTTACATTTATTTAGCTGTTAGAAATGGCCTTGAAGATCTCAGTCTTGGCAAGGATGATGAATTAAGGATGTCAGCTGAGCAAACAGTTTAATTTTGAATTAATTTATCCAAAACTGATTACTGAAAAAAATTATATGAATCTTTCAAGTTCATATTATTCCACATACTTTAGCAATAAATATTCCACCCCTTCTTGACATCTAACTTATCAAGCATAAAACTGGAAGAACCAGCAATGATGCCAGCTTCTTAGATGTGATACCAACTTTGGATACTATAACCAGTGAGAAGCCACTTTTTGACTGCAGCAGGGAGTACAGCCCTCCAATGGTTTAGCCCTCAGCTGACTAACAGCAATTCTGTTAAGCAGCCTGAACATGATAGCTAAAGCATTTTATGGAAAAACCCAGAACACAAAACCCTGAAACCAACAATTGCAAAGAACTATTCCATGACACATTTATTGAATGTACCTGGGGTTGGTTTATTGTCTATGGTCCATTTTCAAATGAATTAAAATAATAATAGGGGGGAAAGAAAATTATCATAAAATAGTAATGAGTTTTGTTGTGTTTTCTTTTTTCTCTCCCAGGTAATTTGGAGTCAGGAAGAATCCAAAATAACAGCATGAGTATTGAAAATTACAGGGTAATGTTGGAAAACCTCTAGAGGTCATCTAGTCCAGCCTCATGCTTAACCCAGTGCCAACTGAGAACAGATCACTCAGAATTAAAAGAAAATAATTTGAAGCAAAAATAAGTAAAAAAATAAGACTTCCCCATCCCCGTTTTGCACCACGAGGAAAAAAAGAAAAAGCAAGAGAAGTTTTCCTGAAATATATAGCTCTTCTGTGTTGCTCATAAGTAAATAAGACCGATATGGAAAATATCTAGCCTCCCTTGGTTGACTTTGTTCCCTTTCTGTCTTGTTGCAGGTAACATTTAGCAGTGTGTGGCAAACACCGACTCAGTCGCCAATACTGCTCTGCCACACTCCAGGCCAGAAAAGGCTAGGAATGCTGCACATTCAGCTTCAGTGAGGGAGAAAATGCTCCATATCATTCATTCATTAGCAGTCCCCTCCAAGTTAATTACAGGACAGCTGCTGAAGAGGGTTCCACCTCATCTTTGGGCTGGGAAAGCAAGGCCTCCAGGGCAGGGCCTGGAATATACAGCAAAGAACAACAGGGTGGGGGAACCTTGTGAGTTCGAGATCGAAGTGAAACCCAGATGACTCATCATAAAGTGAATGTTCCTATTTTGGCAAGAGGCTGAAACAGCAGCCCTGGGTTGCACTGCAGCACAGCAATAAATGACCCTGAGCGCCTGGGACAAACTCCTGTGCACACTGATATTCCTAACAGTAGGGGTTATTTCACATCTCCTTAAGCCAGAGGTTTACATGACAATTAACACATTAATTAACAGCATCTTTTTCACAGGTGGAACTTTGGCTTGAGATTTGAACCTTTTCTCTTTGTTTCATGAGTGAAAAAGAAAGAATAGCTTCCTATAACTCAAGTTGAGAAGGACTCATATGCAGCACTGGCATAGGAGCAGACTGGTGTATGTACTGAGGAACACTGCAACCAGACGATGGCTTTTCCCAGAATGTCTATGCAAGGAGGGCATCCTGTACAACGTCTGCAGCCTGCCATTCAAAACCTAGCCCTCAGCACAGGAAAGATGCCAGGCTGGCCACTTCATAAGGTGACCATAAAAGGCCTATGGTACCACAAAGTCACACAGAGGCAGAGCAAAACCCAGACCTGAACAAGCAGTAGCTCCGATTTCTCAGCTCCAGCCTCTGACCTGTGTGGTTCCCCGCTACAAAAATCCCTTTTTTTATATCTGTAGAGAGATAATCTGTGAGGAAACAATTTAACAAACATGAAAAAGCAATCATGCTAATTTCACTGAAAATAGGCATCAGCTGTAAGAGAATGTTTACTGCCCTAGAGCTTCACATTTGAGATAAAGAACTAATAATTTCTACCAGAAATTACTTTAAAGAGGAGTTGGTACTCAAGTATGGATTTCCTTAAACTGCAGGCATGTTTCTGAGGGTTTTGCTCAATACCACCTTTAATTTCTATTACATTTTGAAAGAATTGATTTGTGGGTATACAAGATTTAGAGCACTTGAAATGGAAAGAAAGGAAGAAAATATTGGAGACTGGAACTAGAACTTCTAGCTTTCAAGCTCAGGGGGGTTCTTATATTCATTGAGTCCCTTCTCTGTCAGATGGATGTTGCTAACGCATGGAAAATGGTGACATGCTTTATATATATATTATCTTTCACTTTCCTGAGGTACATACTGCAAGGAAGTTGCGTTCTAAACAATGTCTAAACAATCATCATATTAATCTTTCATATATTTGGGCACTTGAAGCACAGAAAATTCAATGTGTAGTGGTCTTATCTATCATACCACTTACAAAATAAAACCAGGCTCAAGAGGAACGCTAGATAACTTTCCCTTCAATTAGCTTTTCAAAGCTTTGTATTTTTTAGAATATGATTTATTCCTTTTATTTATCAGCCTGCCTTGTTTCAGATGGGTACTGTCTGACTGACCTCTAGATATCCTTGCACTTTCTCTGTGATATCCCCTGAATGTCAATGCTTCAATTCTTCATCTTTTATTTCCCAAACGTTTCTTATTGGTCACCTCTGGTACTGGTGACAGCTGAAGTGGAAGTTTATCCTCTGATAATCTGTACTGCTTTAATGGTTCCCAGCATCCTGAGGATATTTTCTAAGTGTTATGGTGACACCAGCTGAAATCTTGGCAATAGAAAAGTGTTTCATATGCTTATTTCCTAACTTAGTCTCTTGGTTTTTTTTTCTGCTTTCCCAGCCCTCTGTCAACCCCTTGATTTCTGTGGCTTAACTCCTTTTGTTATTGCTATATTCTTTGTTATCACTTCTCAGTATCTCTCTGATAATAAAGCCTTTGAAGAATCTCGGGGCATTCCCACCATGCATCCAAAATCTCTTAATAAATTTCTGCAAACCTCCAAGTCACATTTGTCTAACAGCTTAGCAAAAATCCCCGTCTAAGAAAGGAACAACACTAGCCACATCTTCTTTATATATTTATCTGTAGAGTCTCAAAGCTATAGCACATAAACCTTCTAAAATGATGAGCATGTTTCAAACAGTTCCAATATAAAATATTACACATAACCCAACTCACTAGCTTTAGCCTGTCTCCAAAATAACATATGCTTAGAAATGCTTATCCTTGTAGCATCACTATCCTCTTTCTGGTCTTTTTATTTTTTTCTTTTTTCCCCAGGATAAAATTAGTCTTGCACCAGCATGCCTGAAAAAGCAGAATTCTCATATAATTTCAATCACTTGCTCAGTTTGCTCATGACTTTCCTACAGCTGACTGACATCTATTATCTCATCTGAAAGAGAAGCTGTGAGTTTGCTCACCTCATTCACCTGCAGGATCTTTGAAATGCCTCCTCTTCTGTTCCTCCCAAAGAGTGCCTTCCCGCATCTCCCAGTCCATTCCCGAGCCCACTGAATATGCAGTCATCAGTAAGTTCTGGCTAAGTTATCCTGCATAACTCCAAAGAAAACAGGAGAGAGTCGTGGATGCTGCAGAAGGTTGTCTTTGCTCTCCTTCAAAATTTTGTGTTGGTGGTCTGTCACAGTCAGGTCTCCAGTAGTAAACTGAACAACCTATCCTCCTGGCTCTTCTTTTCTTCTTTTTCTTTTCTGTAAACACATAATCCGTGCTTCAAATCCTTTAGGTACCACAAACTGTATTTCTCTATTGCCCTCTACTGACTGCCTGCTAACACCGCCTTCCCGGAGAACTGGCGAGCAACAAATAACACAGTATGCTTTCCTCCACCGCCCGCCCTCAAATCAATTATGATACACGATGACCAAAAGTCAACACAAATCATTCTATTTTTTCCTTTGTTACAAAACACCAGGCAAGATTTACGGCTTGTTGGCCAGCCGTGGTAGCGACAAAACACTAAGCAACAGAAGCAGGAAGCAGCTAGTAACACGGGTCTGCTAATGTGTTTTTTTGGTGAATAAAAGCCAGGAAAAAGTAGAGATGAACACATTCTGCCTTGAAATGTGGGCGAACTCACCCCACCACTGTCGTAAATACTGTACCAGGAAGCTGAGGACTATCTGGTTTTAAAGGACTGGCCCTGCCAGCACTGGATGCACAGAAATACTGACTTTTGATGGGAGTTCTGCAGAAGGGGGCTCGCACAGAGCCATGAATCAGTGACCACGGTTTCTTGTTCATTTTCCCTTTGTCTCTAGAGTTTTATGTGCTTTGTATATTCAGCACCACACTTAAAACGAGAAACACGGCTCCTGCCTTTCCTGTCTTATGAGACAGGTACCGGGACAACACACATGACATGCTGTATACAAATGGCACTGAGAGGTGGTGTGTGCACTGCTTGCTGGACAAAAATAATCTATAATGCACAGAGAAACCAGTGAACTAACATAAAGAATTGCCCAGCATAATTCCAGGAACAGAAGAATAAAAAAATGCATAAGCATTCAGAGAGACTGGAAGAGACTGGGGGGGAAAGAAAACCGGGGGGGGGGGGGGGGGAATAAAACCGCATCCTTTACCTTCTATTAGTTACTGCTTAATTAGCATGGTACAGTGCTTGTTAACCAAGTCACTCTGGCACTTGCTCTCACAAAAAGTAAGTTATCCCAAGGTGCTGCTGCAAGTGCTGTGGCCCACCTGCACCACCCCTAGGGGCAGGGAGAGGTCAGGTCCCAGCTCTAAACAATACTAAAATCCCCAGCATGTTTTTCTTTTGCTGGGAGAGTACCTGGCACTATCCTGCCTCAGCATTCCTCCGACTCTACAACCAACTCTCCTATGGGGAAAACATAGTTAAGAAATGATAGAAACAGGCCCACCCACCCCCCCAAAAAAAGTGTTGAAATTACTGTCGCTTACTTGTATGCAAAAAAACACACCTGTTTTTTTCCCCACCACTATTAGTAAATGGGAATCTCTCTTTTGCCAAAATTCTGCTGACCGATAAACACTGGCTGTGTTTTAAATAGCTGTTAAGTGACATCCCTGCTCTCCCACTGAGGAAAGGCAGAGTTCATACAAACCCCATCACCAACAACGCCAGCAACCTGGCAACAAAAAATGTGATGTTGGAGGGACCCTTGGAAAACTCATTTTTAGTTCAAAAATAAAGTCAGCAGAGGCCCTAATTGTAGCTATTATGAACATTTCATTAATAAGCCCAGATTTACTGACTGCACTGTAATGCTCTCTTATTAAAGGAAGTCCAGAGATTCAGTTCTTCTCATGCTTTTCTACTCCTGATGCCCTCAGCTACTCCATGTTAGAAAATAAGAAATAATTATATTTATTCAAATTCCTTGATGGAATATTGAAGCCTGCTCAGATGAATACCTCTCCTAAATGAGCACCATTACCAACAGATCAAAGAAGAAGAATGTCTAGCAAATGAATGGGGCCGAGGGAATTAATAAAACACACATCAAACGTTGAAAAGCTGAGGGTGTTTTTTCTTTTTAATAGTAGCACATATCCAGAATAATAAAGCAAAGCATTGATACTGTAAAAGTCGGTAAATAACACTCTCTCAGACTTGTGTTCAAATCTTAGAAAGCAGGCATTCTTTATTGCAGCACTTGGAGACACAGGGGATCCTTCCACCAAACTGCCTGGGGTTCTCAGAAGCAGGCATTATACAACAATAATACACACATATTCATAAAATTTCCCCTAAAAGTTATATACCTATATATATATATTTAAATTTCTTGAAACTCATGGATAACGTCTCTCTTTTACCAATGTTTTACCAGTTTGCTCAACAGGGCCAAGGCCGACGCCTTTCTATTTTACTTTGTTTACAGGGACACCTAGTCTACTCCCGCTAAACAGCACCATGTGTAGGAGACAGCTCAGTTCATTGCCTGTCATGCTTAGCACAGTGCGTAAAGATTAACCCTTTATGGTCCAAGCAAGTCGGGTATTATTATGGAGTTGCCAAAATTCATCAGAGGGCACCTAAATAGAGCAGATCACTGAAGTTCGGCACTTTTGACCATCGAGCGGGGTTCCGGAGCTGCGGGATGGGGTTTTTCACAACTCCTGACAAGACATCCAATTTTTTACCCTGAGGTGAAAGTTTTCTTTCCGACAGAAAAAAAAAATAACTTTCACCACCTGAAGACACGAGCGGCTCAGCAACACGGGAACCGTTTCCCATAGGGCGCCAACGCCGAGGGGGCGGGCGCCTCTTTCCCCTCCCCACTCTCCGCAGCCCTCCAAACTACCGGGGTCGCCCGCGCCCCGTCCCTCACAGCCAAACGGACGCTGCTGCCGCCCCAACGGCCGCCGGCAGCACATGCCCCACGGCCGGGCGCGAAACCCACCCCCGGCTGCCCCACCGCCTCCCGGTTCGCCCCGCAGCAAGGGCCCCTCCCCTTCCCCGTCAACCGGGCCAGACAGAGGGGCAGCGCGGGCCCGCTCGAGCCCGGAACCATGGTGTTGCGGCCGCAGTACCCGCCAGGCCTCGGCGAAACGCTACACATCCTCCCCCCCCCCCTCCTTCCCCCCTTTCCCTCCCCGCCCGCCGGACCTGTCTAGCGGCGGCTTCCGGCGGGGCGGGCGTTCGGCGGTATGGTGCGGCAGCGGTGGTTCCAAGAGGTGGCAGCGGAGGAGCTGGCGGGCGCCTGCCCGGGACAGGCGCGGTTCCTGCTGTAAGCACCCCGCGCCGTGACGCGGCAACCCGCGGGGAGAGGAGGGGACGGGAGGGGGAAAGCGAAGCGGCGAGGGAACGAGGCTGGAGGGGGTGGGAACAGAGGTAACCGGTGACGCATGTGGGTAGTCCCGCCCCGTGTCCTCGCGCCTGCCGTGGCGCGCCGCCGCGTGGCCGCTGACCGTGACGTGACGCGTGGTGACGCTGTGCCTTGCCTTCTCCCGCGCAGGTGGACGCTCCACAAGTCTCGAGGCGAGTGAGGGGTCCGGCCGCAGCGGAGGAGAGAGAGGGGCTGCCCGGCTGTGCCGCGGCGGGACAGCGCGGTCTGCAGAGAGCAGGCTTTCCTTTCTTCTTCATCTCCCCCTTCCCCCTGCCCCAGCATGCGCTTCGGGGCTGCCGGTGGGAATGGCAGGTGTCCTGGTGATACCTTCTGGGCTGGGAGAGGGATACTCGAGTACAGACAGCTCTGGCGGCGGAAAGTAGTAAGGTGGATGAGGAGCGTGCCTCCTATTATTAGATATAAGGAAGAAGTTCTTTGCAGTGAGGGTGGCGAGGCACTGGAACGGGTTGCCCAAAGAAGTGGTAAATGCGCCATCACTGGCAGAGTTCAAGGATAGGTTGGACAGAGCCTTGGGCGTCATGGTCTAGTGGAAGGTGTCACTGTCCATGGAACTAGATGATCTTAAGGTGCTTTCCAGCCCTAACTATTCTATGATTCTGTTAGGTCTGAAATTTATCCCAGAGTGTTTCTCCACCCCAGGCTGAGATGCTGTCCTTTTCTTGCCCTTAGGCAGACAACTTTATGAGGCTTTGGTGTCGCTGATTTGGCAGGAGAGTGTGCCTGCGTGGAGCTCCTTGCAGATTTGTGAGCCTTTGTCAGGAATGATTTTTAGGAAGGAATTGCATCTTTTCTCAGGAAAATTGGCAATTGCATACTGTGTAAATTGAGGATGACGACTTGTGCTCAGCTGAGCGCATACTGGTGCATATACTGGTGCTCTTGCATTCTAGTTGTACCTGAAACGTAAAATCATATCAACCTAGAGAATGTTAAAATAGGAATATACCATTTTAGTGTTTGCCTGTAAACCATAATTATTTCATGTAAATTTAAGTCTACCTTTATTAATCCATAGGTAAGGAACATGGATTAGAAAGGGTATGTCCTTACTGCTTCCAGTTCCTGCTTCCTGATAGCCACCGGGTGCGTCTCAAACCGAAGATGAAAGCGACCCCACAGATAGAGAAGATTCTGAAACGAGAGGCAAAGAACCACAAACTTAATATGAAACAGACAAAGCTTCTGAAAAAGTACAGGGAGTCAAGAAGTATTCTGGTAAGGCTATTTACTTGGTGCTGCCAAATACCTGATATTTTCCTGAAACCTGAAGTTTCAGAAACCCTGAAATCCTTCTCTTAGAAAATGAGTGCACACCTACACATCTCTCTCTTTTTTTTCAGGAGCATGTAACTCTTCCTTTCTTTTGGGACAACTTCACAATCAAAATTCTTAGACTCTCCCCCCCTACAATAGAGAGATCATGAGTACAGTGACAAGAACAGTAAGCTTCCCCTCCCCACAAAACCAGGCCAATCCCACATATCAGAGAAGCTGCACAAACAGCTCTGCCTGCCCTGTGGTCTCTTTAGAGCAGCGTGGAGAGTCTGCAGATATGTAACATCTTGCTGAAAATTAAGTAATATTTTCCTGCCAGGAAGCTTTTGGCTTCCACCATCAGCATAACTGCAAAAAATGGCAGAAGTTCCAGGTTTTTGCCTGTTGCTTTTTTTTTTTTCTATTAATTCTATTAAATTTCTATGAATTTTCAACTCTGCAAGATGCAGAGCCTTAATACAGCAAATGTACATCCTAAAATCCATTAGAATCTTTAGAAGTCCATTGCTTTGAATACCCCAAAACATACCTAAGAAGAAAAACATGACTGAATTCAGGCTGGTTTTGCCAATAGGCATAGCTTGACCATTTATTGCCTTTGTTTCAGCTCTAAAGGGCTTGAGTGACTCATAGATTGTAATTTTTTTCCCCAGTTTTATCAGTAAAAATACTTCGGCTCAATGAGCTTTACTTCACTTATTTCAGTAGACTGACACAGCTACAGCAGATTATTGTTACCTTCTGTACAAGCTGAGTTTTTTACATTTGTCTGACTATTACTGTTTATAGGAAGTCTTTCAAAACCAAACCACGCAGGTAATTTAAACAAGTTAATGTTGCTCCTGAGGTTTCAGTTCTTCCACCTAAAATCACTCCAGAATGTAAGATTTAATTACTGTTTTTCATACTAACTACTACTATTTGAAGAATAATAGTATACATTTAATCTAGTATTAAATCTCCATGCACTACTATTAAAACGGGTTATATGAACGCATGTTTTGAGAAACGGGACAGCGCTGTATTGTGCCTGGCAGTTGCTGGCTGGCACACTTGGCATTTTCTCAGATGAGAGTCTGCTGGTTTGGGGAGTAAAAGCTGTGGAACCCAGAATTATTAGAGTCAATAACATAAAAATAAACTGGGGAAATATCACAGAGGTTCTGAGCTGTCGGGGCTGAATAAGGTGCTCCAGAAAGGTGCCTTTGCTACTGCTCTCTCCAAATTATAGATCATAGTTGAGCAGCAGAAAGGGCATCTGAGAAGCTGGAATCTTTGCTTTATTTTTCTGGCATCACAAACGTTTAGCATACGTTAAAAATTGTCTCTTTAGACAACTGATGGACATTGTCCTGTGGAATTACAATAGGTTGTTAGATTTATTCTGTAGCTGGAGAAGTTTGTAGGACACACTGAGCATTGATGTGAGTAGTTTAAAATTCAGTTTTAAATAGATCCTGTTTAATCTCTGGTTAATGCTCTAATCTTGGCATGTAATTACAGTTTGCTAAACTTGGGTTTTGCTCGGTTCTGCTTGCGTTTACATTGTGGGTTATGATTTAAGTATTTATGGTTTTAAGTATTTAAAACGCTATCAGCAACTGGCAGCTTTCAAAACTAGCAGTGATGTAGATCCCTATAATCAAATACCTGAGGCTTGCAAAAATGAAAATCTGGAGTGTGGCCAAAAACTTAAACCTAGCAACAGTGTGACAGATTGTGCCTCTGATACCTTTCTTAGCAAGTAGAACTTGATTTGAGAATAATTCTGCCATGAAAAGTCATATAACAAAGGATCTACTTCAGAGCTGTTAAAAATTGTTGGAGGTAACTGCATATGCAGTTCAGGGAATGGAAACTAGCGGGACAGTGCTATGATTAGTTCATTAATTCCTGCATTATAAGGTGTTTGCCTCCATTTATATTCTGTGGGGTGCTAAATCATCATGTGATGCTGTTTTGTTTGTTTTTTCCCATCTGAATTTCATTTAGAACTGAAAAATACATCAATACCTGAGCTGTATAAGTTAACGATCTTTCTCTTTTTCGGTTTGTTAGGCTGACAAAATAACACCTAGAGACAGTCGCAACACAACTGAAAACATTTAATTTTGGAATTTTTAGATGTAATTCTTTCTAAGCAATCTGGATTTAGGGAAATATGCACACTGAAATGAGTGATTTGGTATAGATGTTTTCAGAACTGCTTAGACATTTTTTTGATGTTCTTTGAAATACGTTAATTTGACCAGAAACACCACGTAACTGTGTTTTTCAGTCAGTGTAATTGCGTGCCTCAGAAAGTTGTCTCACAATATTACTCTCATGTCTCCTTATAAGAGTAGTTGCCATGGCAGTAATAGATGTTAGGAATATCTGATGGTCTCTGTGGCTGTCTGACATTATCTGTTCTGATGCACCTCTGCAGTTTACTGTGCTGCTCGAAGTCCCCTGCAGCCTAGAAGTAAACAGAAGAGAAGAGAAAGTGCCCTTTGTTTAGAACCTTTGTTGTAGCAAGTATTTTTTCACTGCAAACAGAAGGGGACTCAGAATGTAACTCAGAGTTATTTGTTCACTAAGATTTGTTGCTATTAGTTGTGGATGACTGGTTTTGAGAGTTTGGTAATTTAAGTATTTTATCTTAAGACTCCCTGGCAAGTGTGTAATATAACTTCATCAGTGGTAGAATACGTTAATGAATTTAGATCACACTGGATGTCACGGGTTTTTAGAAAAATATGAATACTAATGTATATTTAATATACCCTCTATCCAGTTCAGGTGCTGTTTAATCTTTCTGTTGTGACAGGATTATTTTCTGTATTTCACTGTACAATGTTCCATTCAGAGGCATGGGTCTCCTGACATTAGTTGCTAGGGAATTGGAGTCATTTCTAGATAAGCCCATAGGATGTGTTTGACTTACAAAGCCTGAATGAAAATGCTAGGTGTAGAGTATGTGTTGCTTTTTAATAGCTCATGTTTCACTCAAGCTAATATTTAATTTGTATCATGATATTTGGAGAATAGTTTGGGTAATTCTCACAATGGCTTTGTAACATAAAAGGTGGAAAGGCTGAAAGAACTAGTTGATACTTCCTTTCTTCTCTCCATAGCTGGTTACTTGCAAATCATGCAACAAAACAACAAGGCATTATGGTAAAAGCAGGGATTTTCTGGCTACCATGACGCAAAATTCTGGCACTCCAAGTACTAAATCTACCCTGAGGACACCAGGTGTAAAAACTCAGTCTGCAAACAAAGTGACACCTGTAAACTGCAGTAGGTTGGGATCTAAAGGGAACAGTCCGTCATCATTTCCCAGGTACCTGTTTCTCTCCTATTTAAAGGGGTGTTTTGCTGAGTAGAGTGTGTTAGTTATGTCTTGTGGGAATGAGTGTCATGTACTGATTTCAGATCAGTCACTTAATAAACTTTAAATTGATAGCTATTTTTCTTCAGTGGTCTGATTAAGGAGATCAGTTTTAGCTTTCCGACCTTTAAAATCAAAGATTCTAATGAAAAGCGACTGTGCAAGGAATGTGTAATTCTGGTTTTGGCATGAATGTGAAATGTCTGGCTTAAAATTGGCATTAAAAATTTATGCTTCTGATTGCTGACTTTCCCATGAAAATACACTACTTAGGTTCAGGTTTTTTAAAATTATATATGTGCACTTTCATAGTTACTTTATGCTAATTCTCATTCCTCATCTTTAAAACATTTGAGTCTTCTGTTTTTCAGAACACGTGTATCTGGACGGGCAGCAACCAGCTCTGCTTCCAGCTCTGCTTCCAGGACTCCCCGAAACTCCAAATTTCACTTTTCTAAACTGAAACGGATGCTTGAGCTAGAAGAAAAAGACAAAAGCCAGAAGGCAGATTTGAAAACCTTCTTGACTTTACTTTAGTTACAAGTTATTTCAAAGTAATAAAAATTACAGCAATAACATTGTTTCAGTTTTAGTAAATCAAAAAGTGATCTCTTTACAACCCAAGCTAACAGCATGTACCCCGAGAAAGGGTAGGGCATGTGTTTTAAAAGCAAGCTCTCTCTGAGAGGACTGGTTGTCTGCGAGAAGGAGGTGAGAAATCAGCCAGTCTGATACACTTGGGAATCTTGAACATGTTTTGCAATCTCTAATGGCCCAAGAATTGAAAGCCAGGATCTGTCATTTGAGGAAACTGGCAATATTGGATCCGTCAGAACCAGCACATCAGTTGCCAGACTTGAAAGTAGTTTGGGGCTGTGGAGGCTGCAGTTTGCTCCACCTCACTTTCCCCCTGTTTTTGAGGTAATGCATCACAGCAGAATTTAGAAGACCTCATCCCTGCTTTGGATGTTTAAGTAAAACAACACTTTCACTGGCACTTTCTGCAGGTACAATATTTTCAAGGGTCTAACGTAGTGTCCTGTAGTGTTGCTGTCTTTAATTTACCTGTGGTAATTTAAGCGCAGCCTTTAACACAGCCTTTACAAAGGTTCCAAAATAATTTACACTTTAAAACAGCACTCATACAGAGAGCACTAAACCAGTGTATCACCAGATTAAGTTTCTCCATTTTCTTAAGGGTTTTCCCTGTGATTTGGACTGCAGATCACGATAGTGCAGAACTTGTAAAACAACACCCTAACGTGGGATGTTGTCAATGCTGACTGACTGCTCCATGGTAGGCTGCTATCAGCACCCTCATGTGAAACTGATACGAGAGTGGCACAGTCAAAAAACAGACGGGATGCTTCCTTTCCAGTTACTCTGGTGCTACCAAAATGGGTCCTTTCTGTCTTGTTCAGAAATGAGTTGAGGAGAGAACCTTTCTTAAATGTAAGAGTTGCTTCCTTCCTGGCCTTCAATCTGGACAAGCAGGTTTGCCGTGAACAGTAGTGATCTCATTGCACCCAAGTATTTTGATGCGAATAGATGATTGTCAAGGTTAAACTAGTCTCCACTGCCAGATTTTACACTTTCAGTTCGGCACAAAGGTGAGAAAGGAGAGTAGAAATTCACCATTCAGGACTGAATTTATAGCCTGTAGTCTGCAGTGACGGTTCTGCAAATGGTCATTCAGATTTCCCCTCTGAAAACAGAATCAGTAAAAAAAAAAAAGAAAAAAATTTTTGTGTTCTAATGAATAGTCCCTTTAAGTGTATTCAGACTCAATGAACACTGCTTACAAAATAGGGCCAGCAAATTAAGACTTGTCAGACTTGAAAGCAATCCAGGGCAGTGGAGAAGAGTTTGCTGCAAATTCTACTTAGAGTCTCAAAGATTGGCATGTAACCTTTTTGTATCTCCTGTACACTTGCACAATAACTTTGAAAGGTTCACTGTCATTGCTTCTTGCATACGTGTAGAATCAAAATAACTCATTTGATCAACATACAGACCTTAAGAGTTACGCCTTTTCCAATGTAGAACTTGGCATTAATTCTCCTGTTGTTGCTGTGTTTATGATGCGGTCTTCTGGAAAAACACTTCAATCATCTTGTTGATGGAAAATACGGACTATACAGAAGTATTTGAAAAACAAGTTTTGCAATAAGTTTTCCTATTAGAAGTACACACATTACTGCTGTGCTTCCTGTGAGGTTTACATGAAACCAGCATGAGCATCTGCTGTGTTTTAAGGTGGCCCAACATTACTGTGTTAGCTCAAATGAAGAGTATGCTTTTTAAGCAGATCTCTCAATTGTCCATGTTTACTGTGCTTTTTATGCAATACCAACTGGCCTCAGAGTACGTGAGTGACATTCCTTTTGGTGAAAACTACAGCTAATGGATAAAAAACATGATCTGGGACACAACCAGTGTGCTGCGGATGCTAATGGGCACCATCTATCCATAGGACCACAGGAGAGCTCCTCTGAGGTACACAGCTCCAAAAAAAAAAGCGTATTGTGGATGGCAGGCACTGAGCTTCTGGCATTCTGCACTCCAGGTGTACTACCATTATAAAGCACTATTTGTTAATGTAGACAGAGTCTTGTCATGCTCCAAGCGACATCTTTTTCTTTGGAATTACCAGAGTTGTCAGACATGTCTAGATATGTTGTTGTAAGGGATCTTGCTATCAGACTATTGCAAGCTAGCAGACTTCATTGTGAAAACAGGGGCAGGGGAGGGCAAGGGGGGATTCATTCAGTAAGTGCCATTCCTTGTTTACAAGTGTGCTTCAAAATGTTGGGCAGAAGTAGTGTTGGTATTTTCTGTCTGAAGTGCTTTTGTGTTATTCCTAAGCCTCTAATGCAGTCTTCGTTACTAGACTTTCACAGAATCAATGTATTGAAAGACATGTATAGAGATACACACATATATAGGTATCTATGTATATACATACCTATATATGATGTGTATAGATTTATACATACACACACACCAGATGCATGTATGTACACATATATACCCTACATATACCCATGTGACAAATTCTTCCCTTCAGAATGCATCACATCCCTGTACTCACTGAAACAGTGAAAGGTTAATTGTTGGCTGCCACTGGCTATGGCTGAGCCTCCCCACCAAACCTCTGCCATGCAGCATTACTGGTTTGTGGTTGAAGAGCTGGAAGGACAGCTCTAGGGAAAGGAAATGGTCTCACTGATCTCGATGAGGCCAGAATTTCACCCAGACTTTGAGTTGTTTGCAATAAACAATGATTTCAAAGATGTTTTTACAACAACATTTTATTCTATTAAATACGAAAGAGCGTACATACAGGTGTTATTCTGAGGACATAAATTACACAAGTATTACACATTCTGTCAGAAAAGCACAATAATGAAACATCTTTACATTTCAAACTTTTCTTGTTAGCTTTTAACAAATGAGTATTTCTGTTGCAAACAAGTAACGAGTGCTATTGAACTTTTGCAAATTCCCACAAAAACATCATGCTCAGTAGGATACTTTAAATACTGTAAAGATGAAATCAGAATTAGATTTCTAAATAACAAGATGGAAGAGATTTACTACTTAATCAAGATAAATGACACACTGAAATAGAAGCCGAGACAAAATTGGTCATTCATTAAAAAAAATTCCACTTCAGACACTACATTTGAGTCTGCTTCCTCTACTTGCAGGAATAGCTACTGTGATTATATGCATGAGTAATGAGCAGAACTGGCCTAAATATTTAGAAATGTCAGTCAAATTTTAGACATGCTGGTTTTCTAGTTCACTATGTTTTCCACCGAAAAAAAAACCCCACACCTATGAGTCTGTTCACTTACATTTCAAAAGGTTGAAATCCAACCCTTCTGCAGAGGGCCAGTTGAGCCTATGGATGACTTCCATGTCTTCCATGGTCATCTGCATCCTATGTCTGTATTTTGAGTCACCACATGAAGTACCAGACTGAGTTACCACTGACTCGTGAGAGCAGTATTAGTCTGCAGAAGTCCTAATGCACTGTCTTTTTAAACTCCAGGTAAACGGGAATGTAATTTTACCACAATGAAAGCTCTCTATTTGACATTCAGAAGACCACTCAGATAAAATACAATAGGCATGTAGCTTGGGCTGTGCTGCTATGGCTTTATGGAGGTGTTTTGAAATATTAATACAAACATTAACAGAGTGAAACAGACAAGCTAATGTTCCTGCAGGCTGGAGTTTAATTTTCAAATGAAACACCACTTCTAAGCACGGTAATTTTTGTAACTAAGGACTTCACATTTATTTTTAAAACCACAGGAGTGGGGTAATGTTCCTGATATCTTTCAAAACATTCTGCAAAAACACAGTTTAAGCCTGCAAACACTAGAATATACAAGCAGTCCCAGGGACCTCCAATGTAAGCATTCTTGTATAGTAAAGAGCTGCAGGAATCTCTGCTTTTTTTTTCAGAGAATGCTCAATAAAAGTGCAATACAGTGAAGCAAATAATCTCATTATTATGCTTTTATTATTAGATGAAAAAATGTTCAGATATTTTACAATTGTGCCTTTTGTAAAGTGGGCATTCTGGTTTGTCAGACCAAGTTAGAAGAGACAGGCAGGGAACCCTCACATTCTCTTTCCCAGGGTGGTAACGCCCCAGAGCAGTACTATTGTGCTGCCCGGTTTCACACTGTTACTTCTGTTTTGACAAAAGTTGACATTTGTTTTGCTTTTCATTTCCACCCAAGCATGTTCCCCTTTTCAGCTCCTAGGCACCCCTCCTTTCCCCACCCAGCCTCTTTTCTTCCTGAGACATCAGAAGTACGAACATTAAGCTTTAGAACCTGAGAATTTGGAGGTATTTTTTTGACACTACAGGGCTGCATTTGTATCGTACCATGTTATCTCTTGCTATACTATTACAGTTACAATATAAATCTTCTAACTAGTTGATACCTGATGCCTTTCTCATATAAATAAAAAACAATGTACCATTTAGCCACTCATATATGACACTTGGTGTAAGAGTGACCTTTATCTTCCACAAGTCCTCTTTTCCAAACAAATGGTGAGGGATCATTTCCAAAATCCCAGCTATGAAATACTCCTTGAAGTAAACAATTTCACAGTAAAATAAAGAAAAATATATCCAGAAAATAACACTCTCTCAAAAGTAAAACTTGTATATACATCAAGAAGTTGAGATTTTTCCTCATTCTTTTAACAGTTCTACATTATCTGTAGATAAGCAACATTATCACTAAGAGTTATGAATAGGAAAAACAAGTCTAGTGAAGTAAGTGTCATGTCTTTTTTAATACTCTTGAGAGAGCAAGGAAATTCATCATTCAACTTATTTTTAATTATGGTACCAAAAGACTGTTTAAGCTCAAATCCCTATGGTTTTGAGTATCCAAGTATACACTCTAACCAAGCCATGCCACTGCATTTATAACCCCCACTGGCTACAAATTAATCTAAGTTTTCTATGGATGGGATTCAACTGTGAACTCACTGTTTATCCTTCTTGACTTATTGCTTGTTTTATAAGTCTTAATAGATTATGCTGTTTTAAGATATATCACAAATTTGGCTCTATTCTTTAGCAAGGCTGAGGTTTAACTGCAACTGTAATGCACGTACATGTTTTTTGGAATTTATGAGCGGAATTTAATGTAACAGAACAGAAATATTTAAAAAATAAAATTGTACCCGAACATTAATTTTCTTACCAAGAATCTATGTTGAAAAGATGCTAGCATGTGTTATTTAATTTTGCACATTAGACTTAAACTGAAGCAACATTTCTATACGGTGTTGGCTCTTTTTTTCCTATGGAGTGGAAAATTGGCACTCAAAACTTAACATTCTTTGGACAGCTAGTGAGCTCTGATGAACTATTTTCAGCATTCCTACCTGTCAGTAAGAATTTTTGATGAAATCAGTATTCTACATTGCATGCTATGAATGCTAAATCAACAGCTCCTGTTTTTATCTTTTAGTGGTTTTGTCCTACTTAACTGAGGTCTATTTCACGGCAACTTCCATGAGAAAAGATAACTGGACTGAGGTGCTTATGTCAAGTGTATCTATTTTAAAGAGAAAGATTATTCTCCACTCTAGCGAATAGCCCTGCAGAAGTCAATAACAAGTGACAGATCACTATCTTCAACAATATCGCTCCAGGATTATTTTGAATTGTTTTGAGTTTTGAAGAATAGATTTTTCTAAAAAAACCCTGCTTTCATGTGAGGAGGAGTATTAAAACTTGTAAACTGTGAATTTAACTGATGCAAAATAATGCCTGCCACGTGCAAACCCATGAACAAACTGCAATCCTTAAATACACAGACGATATAATCTATATGCCAGCGGTATGGGTAGGCTTTTTAAAAAACTACTGCTCAACAATTACATGCCTAATTCTAATTGACTGAAAAAGCTAAAGTTGCTGGCAATCTGCTAGATTCCCGTCTGTATCTGTAAGTGAATTAAAAGCTGGTGCATAGTATAACAAGTATAACACAAATTCAGCTACCTGTAGATAAATACCACATTTGGGGTTTGTATAAATACCAGCCATGCAAAAAACTTCTAAAACCAGACATTGGGCAATAATTTTCCACTGTCTGACTTTTACACACACAGGCCTGAATTGTCTCTCCTGTTCTGTGCGAAAGAAAATCAAGATCTCTCAGTCTAGAGCTGGTCAAGGTGGCAGCTGGAAGTCCACACAGGCCTCCAGGGTTTCTCAGTGAAAGATGATGTATAGTATGGCTGTATCATTGTGTTGCTGCATGTAGTACACAGCACTGTCAAATGTTAATAATGGGCATTTAACAATTGGGACAGTTTGGAGAATGACCTTTCAATTTAATTAAAGCTGTAAAATGACTTCATGTTTCTCGGATTAACCTTTTTAGAGGGAGATGAATGTTGCAGAAAGGGATTAGAGTACAAATGAATGGTCCCTCAATTTAGAAACTAAGCGGCTGTAAAAAGTTACAATTTCTAAAGCGAATTGAACTGGTCAGTCGTACAGTTTCTTATGTAGAGCTTTAAATGATACTAAAATATTGCAGTATTTTGAGTAATTTAAAGATCTGCTCAGTGTAACATGATGTATATTTTCCAATACAAAATTGGTTACAAACTATTGTTTCAAAAAACCCCACCTGACTTGTTTTGAGAGTGGGTAATTTATATGTAATGGACAATAAGATCACTTTTAACTTTCAACTAAATTGCATCAACCTTCTTGCAAACATAACCTTGTGATTTCCACATTTAACTCCCTCACTAGCAACTGAAATGTCTCAAGTTAGAAGTATGTGTTGATTATATGTTGACCTACATTAAATACAGAGTACATAAGAAAAATCTTAACAGGTTTTTTTACAGGGCACCCAACTAAAATCTTTACAAAAGATAAGATAATTATCCATTCTTCAGTGTAATAGACACAGATGCCACTTTTATAAATGTACCCTTATGTTCACTTGCCAATAAAATAGTAAACAAATCAACTTTTTAAACCATTTTTTATAAATTATTAGAGTATTTTTACTGACACTCTCCAACAATATACAAAAATACTACTACAAGAGTACCAATCAGTCAGACCTACCCCTCATTTCACAGAAAAGTAGAGGTTATGGAAGGATGTTCTTGTAATCAATCATCACTGTAGATGTCTCCTGCAAACGGTAGGTGTACGTGGCTGCCTGTGACATTGGGAAGTCGAGAGAGATCAGGCAGGTTCTGGATGCGTGACCTGAGTTCTTTCCGTACCTGGGACACTCTGGCTAGCTTCCGTTTGTACTCCTGCAATGCAGAAGAATTCAACATGAGACTTTTCTGCTAATACCGTCCCTGCTACTTACTGTACTTGATATTTTCCAAATAAAGCATTCCTTCTGAATGGTAGATGACTTAACAGCCTTTTAAAGGTGAGAACCCAGAGAAGGAGAGGCAGAGGCATCAGCGCCAGCATTTTCTTGGGACCTGACTTTGAAAGTATAGCTGTGGAATTATTTTGCTTTGAATTGCAAGTATATAAATGCCAAATAAGGAAGAGAAGCCCAGTCAACACAACTACATGTGTTTCTCCATGCAACTAGTAGAATGGGATTATTCTTAAAAACTGTATTAAGAATAATAGATACACGTACTTTACTATCACTCACAGAAACTTTTTTTAACTGGGGACTTAGGATTTCACATTGTGTTGGAATACAGGTCAAACTACTCATAATTCATATATTTAATGATTATGAGGCACTCTTCACATGAAACAACATTATACATGATAAAATATTTAAGACCATAAACCAGTGCACTAGAATGTAGTTAGTGCTCACCTATTAAGAGTATGAGACATAATGAATACCAGCTTGTATAAAATGAAAAGTTATTCCAAAATGTAGGAATAGGGTACAATTTATGGAAATATTTACATTTCAAAAACTTGGAAACACACTTTTTTTGGAGAGCAGAAGAGACAGAGCATTAGCAGGCAAAGAGGCACTTCATGAAAATATACTGTAATTCACAACACATCAAATGCAGATGCTTTCTAGTGCGGCTGCAGGTTTTGCTGCAGCCTCGGAATGGCTGGAAATAACAAATATTTAACAACTCAGATAATCAGCCCATTGATAACAAAGATCTCATGACTATAACCACTTCTAAATAGTGGGGAAAAAACCCTACAACATCCTGTACAAGTGCCAAAAGTAAATGCTTGAACGTTCCAGCAAGCATAAAAAACACTTTGCACATGTCTATAAAAGGTAATAATCATGCTATTTACAAGGTCTAAACATAGGTTTAAACATTTTTCTATGCTGTTAATAGCATGGAGTAAAAAGGAAGGGTAATGAAATGACCTTTTGGTAGCAGAATCCAAAACAGTAGTACAAATGTAAAATACCAGAGGCATGATCAAGATTACTGGACAAGGTCCAACACACACAAAACCAAAGTCTGTACTTATTAGCAGCAGTGTAGCCATCTTACCAATGGCAGTAAGAGAACTACACGAAATCTTAAATTCTTAATGAAAAGGCAAGGCATAGTTTAAAAAAAAAATAAATTATATCTTTACATAGAAAGAGAGAAAAAGGTGCCCCTGAACGAGGATCATAAATTCCTCGATACCACTTTTGAAGTACAGTTCAGAGTCTTATGATGTACTAAACACAGTGAAAGTGCTACAGATGCCTGGGCAGCAGAACTGTGAACACCTGGTGACAGTAGACAGAGCGAAGCAGTGCTCCTGTTATGATGCAGATGACCAAAAAAGTCTTACAACAGCAAGTCGCTTGGTCTTAGGAAAACTGTCACCTGCTCACACTTGGTAGAAACCTTCTCTCTGACGCAAGTGACTTCAGGACACGGCTGTGGAAATAGAAGGGTTGTATCCTGATGCTGTATCCTTAACAGTAGTGCCCAGAGACCACAAATATTTTACTGTTTCATATCTAATACTACAGCAATATCCAGAGGCTTCAGTGAACTAATTCTGTGCAAGAGTCATAGCTGTTTGCCAGTAGGCAAAAAGCCAATAAAGAATACTTCTTGCCATTTTCACTATTATGGTCCAGATTAGAAAGATATGCTCCTATTACAATAGGGCATAGATTTCAATGTATCAGGAAATTGTTTAGTAAGATCAATTTGGCAATAGACCAGACACATTATTTTCAGAAGTAAAATGGCTGGAGATTGGGCAATGAGGGCTTCGGGCAAGCTTCTGGCCTCCATTTTGAAAGACATACTGCTGTAGAGAAGGGGATGAATAGAACTAAAGCAGAATCAAAACACTCAAAAGGTCCAAGATCAGTAAAAGAAATTAACTATAATATCATTCCAGCAGTTAATTCTTGTAAATGGTGTTTGAATCAACTTAATCCTGACTCAGTTCATTCTGTCCATGGAGAATATGACAGATCAGTATCCCTCCAGAAGCTTGAAGTGCGATGCTAGGCAAATACACATAGATCACACCTAGCAGCTATATACTCTCAAGACCTCACTCCAAAAGCTGAAATATACCTTAGATTGCCAGTTGCTCGGCACCATTAAAATTCCCTTTAGCTGATAATAAATATTTTCCATAATAACATCACATTTCTGACATGCAGCATTTTCCATATAAATTTTGCCTGGAACTTGTTGCCTAGTGAATATCAGCTTGATCAGTATTACTGACAGCAGATTCCTTTTTCTCACTAAGGACTCATTATCAGCAATACTCATTATATGCACAGCCTTTATTATTTTATCATAATAGCATGAACATGTATCTACAACCATTTTCCTCAGCATATAAGGCAAGAGGGTGACAAAGCCGAGGAGCAGGAATGGGGATATCTAGGTGTTATTTCTGATATTGTTGTTCCATTAGAAACACTGTATACTATACAACTGAGTAACAATTTAACCACATTGCTGGCACTTCAAACTGCAGAAATCCTCACGGAGAACCTCAATTTCATTTTCATTACGTTGATTTTAAGATACCCTTCAAATTACCTCTGTGTAAATGAGGCAAGATCCAAGCTATTTACTTCAAACAGAAAAGGACAGGAAGTATGATGTTTTCTTTTGCTACACCAAGCATAATTTGCATTGCTTGCTATCTGTGGAGAATCTTACTCTTGGGATATATGGGCAATCTGATGTACAGCATAAAAAGCCTCTTCAATTTCTTCAGCAGACTAAGATAACACTGCATTCCAGTGGTAATTTTTTGTACTTCCAGACATAAGAGTAGGTTTATGAGCTAATTAGAAGAACATTTTTCTCATTAGAATCCCACTGATTACTACAGTTTCCATTACTTGACAGTATAGAATACGGATATTTTGTGAAAGCAATGCTAACAAAACATGTACTCACACCTAGTTTAACAGTATTCTCTATCAAGTAAGTACCAGGCAAAAAGGCCAAATAATTTTTGATTAGACACTATAATCATCATGAATAATAAAAACGTGGGCAGGCAAAATAGGCTGCGCACTACAGAGAATAGCTTCCCTTTCAATTGAAATAGGCTGAAACAGATCTTAATACAGAGTTTCTGCAATTATTGTAGAGCTATAGCTTAAACAACTTGGAAATTCACATGTTCCACTTAGAACATCAATATGACTTTGAAACCTCATATGACCATTAAGCATATGGCATGCATTAAAATACTGCATGGCAAAAAATGTACAGCAGAGCAATAGGAAAGCTTGATTAAGTGATTTTGTCCACCAGCAACTGTTATGCTCTGGTTCAGACAGGAATACAATGCAGATCTTCAAATCACATATTCCTGAGTACAGCAGCAGTAAATAGGAACAAAGCATTTTACCAGGACATGCCCTATCTGAAACTCTTCACAGTGGTCACAAACTATTCTTCCCAATCCTTGAAAATGCAATTTCTTTGTCCAGCTACTTCCAGCCTACACATAGGTCTCCAATCTCATTCATGCCAATCGTGACTCCTGGCCTCTATCTCCATTCCTTGAACACTGCTCGTAGAACGAACCTCTTTAACTAGCAAGGCTGTTCAATGCCTCTCATACTCCTGTTATGTCTGTATTCATACATGCAACAGCAGTTGGGGGGGGGGGGGGGGGGTTGCCTACCTGTTCCCATTTCCTTCCTTTCTGGCTCAGTAACTGAATTCCTCCCTCTCCAATCCTGGTCTGCACTTTGTCTTTAGTTCTGGCTATGTCAAAATTCTCCCCAGTTCTACGCTCAATTTGTCTCTCTTCTCTGCCTACGTAGCATCATCAGATCTCAACCAGATCTGCTCTATCACCTCAAACCAGTTTTTGCTTCCATTCTCTCAGATCAAAGGAATTTAAATTCCTCTCATTTTAGTCCTACATGACATTACACTTTTCTGCCCAGTCACTCCCTTTCTTCTCAGCCAGCTGATCTATTCCATTCTTTACTGTAATGTCTAGTCCTGGATCCTTTCTTTATCTTCTTTAGCCTCTGGTGCCAAGTTCCATGGGAACTTGTCCAAGTTTTGCATTCAGAATCATCGGCTTCCACCTCCTGATTGCTTAGACTCATGGGAGCCATGGACATCCCGCCCATGGAAGAAGTTATCTGCTCTACCAGGTACTTGGCCCATGGTCGGCCTAGAGAACAACTGTATACATTTGCAATTGCAGAAGTCTTCTTTAGCCCAACCTGGAAAACTCTCTAGCAGGGAAGCTCTTCATGGAAAATAGTAATGTTTTAAGACATCTCTGATGACCATATTTAAAGTAAGATTGTTTCCAAAGGCTTGCAATTCCATTAAATTCAGGTTGGTTTTCATTACTATATCAAAAATGCATGATCCTGACGGAAAGGATTTCCCTATTCCAGAATATTTTGAGAAAGAACATGAATTACATCATCTCAAAGTAATTTTTAAAGATTTTTTTTATTATTCAAAACTTTCCCTTAGCTTTATTCTTGAAGATTGTGTTGGCAAAAAGTTGGTCAATATTTGGGAAAGTTCAAGAAAACAGGGACTTCTAAGCTTAATTAGTAGGAGTATTACTAGGCTTACTTAGTTCATACTTACTTCCATTAAATCATAGAATGTCCACAGTGATTAATTTATAAAATAAATTACTACTTAAAATATATTAATTTAATTAGAGAATCTCTATAGGAAGATGATTTCATTTAAAGGATTAAAGGATGGCAGATATGAGCACCAGCTCTAACAACTGATGCCTGCTTGGGGTTAAATTTGGTCTTCTTGTGTTTTATTATCTGATACAGCATTTTTATCTGGTTGAAAATTTAGCCATCCTAATAAACTCA